GGCCGGCCTGGGCGGGGAGCGGCCTCTCCCGCCCCAGCCCCAGTCACACGGCCTCCATGTCAGTGTCCCTCCTCTGCTAAGGACACGGGTCAGGCTGGAGTAGGGCCCCTGCCCCGTGTGACCTCCCCTCCCCTCCCCTCACACATCCGCTAGGACCCTCTCCACACACAGCCCCCCCGAGGCGGCAGAAGGACACGACCTGGGGCGACACAGGCACCTGCTGTGGGGATCCCTGCTGCCCTCATCCTATGTAATAAAAGCCTAATATGCAAATCGACTGAACTGCAGAATGATGGGTGGAACTACTGGTCGCTATGACGCACACTGACCACCAGGGGGCAGATGCTCAATGCAGGAGCTGCCCCCAGCCCACAAGCCCCAGGCCAGCCAAGGCGGGTGCCAGTGGGGGCCCCCTGATCGCCCCGCCAGTCGCCCCACAGATCGGCCCGGATTGCCAGCCAGGCCTAGGGACCCTACCTGTGCACTGCACGAATTTCATGCACCAGCCTCTAGTTTTCTCATGTTCACCACAACACCGGTCGGGCAGAGCCCCGTGTCCTTGGTCCTGCCCGTCAGCAGGTCTGGCCATCTGGGCCTCAGCCGCTAAGGGCTCATGCCTGTGTTGCTTCGTGTGCAACTTTCTCGCTCCGCACGGGCGTCAGCACAGGCGTGGGGAGCCGCTTGCCGTGTTGAACCCCCTGTTCTTTCGATGCTGGGATAGCCCCAGGGATTGCTAAGCCCCCGAAGCGGGCAGCTTCAGCCTGCTGCTCTTTCCCACGGACCGTGCCTCACTCTCCCCCCTAGACCTCCACCGTGCTGTCTTCAGAGGAAAAGGGCAAAAAGACCAAGAAGAAAAGCCGGAGGCGCCGGACCAAAGGCGAAGGGAAGAAGGAGTCGGAGGACGAGTGCTTCCGCTGCGGCGACGGCGGGCAGCTGGTGCTGTGTGACCGCAAGTCCTGCACCAAGGCCTACCACCTGTCCTGCCTGGGCCTGGGCAAGCGGCCCTTCGGTGCGTCCCGCCCGGCGGCTCAGGGCCCGCAGTAGGGGGAGCAGAGCTGTGACCCCGGCAGGAAACCAGGAGCCCCCAGCGCTGTGAAAGTCAGACGTCTGTAAAAAACAAACGTTTAGATGGGAAATGACAAAGCAGACAGCGTCAGGAGAGAGGCCTGGCGCCAGGCCCTTAGAGGGGGAGAGCGGGGCAGCAGAAGGCACAGGCAGGCCGGGGCAGGCCCTGGGCAGCTGGCCTTTGCGCTCTCGGGTGGGAGGGAGGGAGGGAGGCGGCTGATGGGTGTGGGACTTGCCACTGGCTGCCTGTCTGGTAACATGCCGTCTCCTTACAGGGAAGTGGGTGTGCCCTTGGCATCACTGTGACGTGTGTGGCAAACCTTCGGCCTCCTTTTGCCACTTGTGCCCCAATTCCTTCTGCAAGGAGCACCAAGACGGGACCACCTGGCGCTCCACCGCGGACGGGCGCTCCTAC